AGCTCTTTTTTATATGCATTATTACACTGCAGAATTTATACTCCCCAGAAGTAGGTCTCCCACAGGAGCCACCCGAGTCCTTCAGTGATTTCAGTCAGTGCCCTGCCCATCAATCAGGACGCAAAGGCCTATGCCTGTCTCGAGGCGCCGTCAGAGACACCAAACTAATTCTGTTCAACTCTTTCCTCTGCACCTAGTTTTCAGTCAGTTTCTAGTCACTATGTCCCTTTGTCTCTTTCTTCAATAATATCTTGATTTGTTCCTTCTTTTCATTTTTAGTTCAGAAGTACTGTGACAGCCTTCTTACTTGTCCCTTGCTTTCATTCTCTCTCTAGTCTAATAAGTCCTTCATGTGTATAAATCTTAGGTTCCAAAGTGTTTGTTCAGAGAGGTGGAAGCAGATGAGAGATCTTATGTCAAATATGCTTGGGAAATGTCACGCCATATAGTGATTTTATAATACACATTAACATAACAAAGGCATTAAGAAGCCCTATATTAGAGAAATCTGAGAAAACTTATCTGTCCATGGAAATGTGTTTTGTGGAATAGTTATTAGCATTTTATAGGCAAAACCCAGTCTGGGAAACTCTGTTCTAGGTTAATCTTCAGAAAACATTTATGTATCATGCTTCTTCCTCCATGAAAAAAAAAAAAGTTCCAGAGTTCACCACTGTTCCAGAACCAGGTCCAAGTCCACCAGGCCAGCACCACAGGTGCCCTATCTGGCCTATGCCATCCAACTTCATCCACTACCTCTCCACCAGCAAATGGTTTGCTGAAGTTGGACCTCCTGTCTTCTGAGCAGGTGGGCTTATGCCTTAGAGGGAACACCCAGCTCTGTCCCTCCCGTTTGTCAAACTCTTGGAGCGTGCTGGCCCATACTTTCACACTGGCATTTAGTCAGAGACCACACCTTGCACTATTGACTGAATTATTCAACATCCCAGCTTTCTCTCCACAGCTAACTTCCCAGAGGCAGAGAACTCCTTTTCTGTCTGCACCCTCAGCACCCAAGTGTGCTTTGATGACTTCACTGTGCAAACAAATGGCACTTAATAAATATACGTTGGCAGAATAAATAAATTAATAAGTGAGTGAGTCTTGGTAAATGTTCTTTTAAATCAATTGGCTTCATAGATTTCTGAGTCCAGGCCACCTGAACACATCAGGAATCAACATACCAGCTTCCCAGAAGAGATCATGTGATCTAGTCCCATCTCTCACACAACATGTAGTGATGCAAACAACGTGAATAACGAGAGGCATTTTGCTCTGCAGCAGGATGAGAGAATGTAAGTCAGGACCTTGCCAAGAGGGGAACGGAAAATGTATGTATATGTATCACTAGGCTAAAGCATCCTTTATTGATCATAAAAATACATAATTACCAGCAATATGTTTTCGACAGGCACAGTCGTGTACCACATAATGATGTTTCGGTCAATGACGACTGCATGTACAACAGGGGTCCCATAAACACGCACTGGTAAAAAGATAGCCTCTGCAATAAATGGTACTGGGAAAACTGGATATCCATGTGTGCAAGAATGAAACTAGACCCATACCTCTCACCATATACCAAGATCAACTCAAAATGGATTAAAGACTTAAATGTAAGGCCTGAAACTATAAAACTTCTAGAAAAAAAACACAGGGAAAACACTTCAGGACATAGGACTGGGCAACGATTTTATGAATAGGACTTCTAAAGCACGAGCAACAAAAGCAAAAATAAACAAATGGGATTACATCAAACTAAAAAGCTTCTGCACAGCAAAGGAAAGAATCAAGAGTGAAGAGACAACTTGAAGAATGGGAGAAAATATTTGCAAACTACACATCTGGCAAGTGACTAATATCCAGAATATTCAAGGAACTAAAACAACTCAATAATAAAAAAACAAATAATCCAATTTAAAAATAGGCAAGGGAGCTGAATAGACATTTCTTCAAAGAAGACACACAAATGGCCAACGGGTACATGAAAAAATGCTCAACATCTCTAATTAGAGAAATGCAAATGAAAACCACAATGAGATATCATCTCACCCCAGTTAGACTGGTTATTATCAAAGAGACAGAAAATAACAAATGCTGGGCCGGCCCCGTGGTGCACTCAGGAGAGTGTGGCGCTTGGGAGTGCAGCAGCGCTCCCTCCGCGGGTTCGGATCCTATATAGGGATGACTGGTGCACTCACTGGCTGAGCGCACTGCGGACGACACCAAGCCGAGGGTTGCGATCCCCTTACCAGTCACACAAAAAAAGAAAATAACAAATGCTACAACACCAAGCCGAGGGTTGCGATCCCCTTACCAGTCACACAAAAAAAGAAAATAACAAATGCTGCTGAGGATGCAGAGAAAGGGGAACACTTATACATTGTGGGTGGGATTGTAAATTAGTATAGCCACTGTGGAAAGCAATATGGAGGTTTCTCAGACAATTATAGATAGATCTACCATATGATCCAGCAACCCCACTACTGGGTATATACCCAAAGGAATGGAAATCATCATGTCAAAGGGATACCTTCATGCCCATGGTTATCGCAGTTTTATTCACAATAGCTAAGATATGGAACCAAACTAAATGCCCAACCAACAACAGATGACTGGATAAAGAAAATGTGGTATATATAAACAATGGAATACTACTCAGCCATAAAAAAGAACAAAATTCTGCCATTTGCAGTAGCATGTATGAGTCTGGAGAAAATTATGTTAAGTGAAATAAGCCAGGCACAAAAAAGAGAAATACTGCATGCTCTCAGTCATATGTGGGAGCTGAAAAACAACAAATACACAAATGATAACAATAAATAAAATAAATAAATAAATAAAACAAATAAATAATAACAATAAATTGAACAATTAACAGGTGAGAAGTGTAGTTACTAGAAGCAGGAAAGGGGAAAGGAGGGGGGTGAAAGTGAGAGGCTGGTTAATGGATACAAAGTTACAGCTAGATAGAAAAAATAAGTTCTGTTGGTGTACAGTCGACCCAGGAATCTATAATTAACAATGATTTACTGTGTTTTATCAAAGGACTAGAAGAGAGGAGATCAGATGTTCATACCACAAAGAAATGATTAAGTTTTACAATGATGAATATGCTAACTTTCCTGATTAGATCATCACATATTGCATACATGTATTGAAACATAACTCTGTATCCCATAAATATGTACAATCAATACGTTTCAATAAACAATTAATTTAAAAAAAGATTATACTGAAGCTGAAAAATTCCTATTGCCTTATTATGTCACAATCATCGTAATGTCATAGCGCTATGCATTACTCATGTATTTGTGGTGATGCTGGTATAAATAAACCCACTGCAAAATATGCTGAGGAGAAGTGCCAAGCTCAGCCATGGGTTGACCCTCCCAAAGGTAGTTCAGATCTTTAAGACAGAAAGCCAAGCATCTGACACAGTCAGTCTGACCCCAAGTAAAACAGTTGTTGTCAAAATTAGAATTCTTGCATTTTTAAATGATTCTCACCCATACCTATAGCAAAATAATAGTCAATAGCAAGTAGCTAAACTCACTGAGTGTTTGCTCAGTGCCAGGCACAATCTCTATCTGTAATTTAATTTTCATAACTGGGTGGGGGCGGTATTAGTCTAACCCCCATTTAACAGATGAGAAATGTGGCATGATTAGAGAGCCCATGCACATGCAACTACTGGCCAGTGTGTAACAGGAAAATTCATTGCTATTGCCTTTCATAACACACTTTTGCACCCAACAAAGCAGCCCAAGCACGCATTTCTCAGAATGTGTCCTCGTTGTTAAGCAACACATGACTCTACTTAAATAACATCAGCCAACTTTGATAAGTTGACAATTATGTCAATTTTAATGCAAATTAAAATCTTAAATTTTCTTATTTTCTGAATACTAAAGTTCTTATTTTATCTTCATGGGTAATTTTTCCTTCTTCACATAGAATAAAATTAAACAGGTTCATAAAATACTTATCAGCTTACGTATACACGCATAGCCATCTGTGCTTCCAAGTTTAAATTAGTTGTCCTCAGACTTGGATGACTATTTGCTACATGTACATCTCTCTCTCTCTCTCTTTGATTGTCTTATTATTTGATTTATGGTCTGAAATGTCTTTATTCTTTTATGCACATGCCTCTACTTGCACATAGTGCAAAGTGACTGATGTAGGCACTTCATTTATGTAATCACACTCATTAGAATTCATGTCCAAATTATGTAAGTTCATACTGGTGATGTCAGTAACAGACTACTAGATCTTTACTTAAACAATGCTTTTGACACTGATAGTGATGATTTGGAACAAAAGGCAATGCCAAAGGTGGCCCATTCTAGTTCTGTCCCTATGTGATCTCAAGATATTTGAGCTTTTGTTGGTAAAGGGAAAAGATAGAGTAAGAGTGGACTAGGCTAGGATTTCAAGCTGTAGTTCTATAGTTAACTAGCCAGGTGGCCCTGGATAAGCCTCAGAGCCCAACTGAGCCTGGATTTTTTTATTTGTAAATTGAGATGGTTGGATTGGATGTCGTAAAATTTTGTAACTCTATTAAGCAAATTCCCTATTCCCTTAAAAGAGCCTCTAAAAGCTATTTGGTTAATTAAGAACTAAAATTAGATCAAACTATAACTAGCTTTCTAGATGCTAAATTCCAGCCACATTCCTGGTGATTAAGCAGTATCAATCCCAGGTTCACTGTGTGTCATGTTGCTAGGTTCACTTCAGAAGGAATTACAGGAATAGATTTTCCTTGACTGTGGCCTTTTTTGAGGACATGACTTTATTCTATTTATAAAAGAGTTTTGAAAAAACAGTGAATTGAATCCATTTAATATAGGAAATATAAAACTAAATTTTAAAAGATCTATTCAGATTGCTTTGGAAAAGTTGTCCTATTGAAAAATCTGAAGCCAATGTAATAGGTACTTAGTCCAATAACAGTAACGTTCCCCAGTAGCACTTTGTCACAAGGAAAAGATACTTACCTGTACGTTAGCATGGACAGACCCAGGTACTTGATATCTCAGCTCATGGGCTGTTGTTTGAGACTTTGGAAGCAGAAAAGGATAAGAAAGGGACCGATATTTTGGTTTCATAATCTAAAATAAAGAAAAACAGATAAAAATGATTCACATAAGAGGTCCATTCTTCTGTATTTTGTGATTTTAAAAGAAATTCAAGGTCATTTGAAAAAGAAAAATGTTAACAATGGACATTTACAAGTGAAGGGCTATCGATTATCTATTTTTGTTTTCTATTTTTCATATTTTGTTCTTTACCTTTTGTAGTAAGCATGTATTATTCTATATTTGTAAAGAAAGATTAATATACTCTATAGTTATAGAAATACATAATTGCAAAATGGGATTACTGTTTCATAAACAATTTTTATACTATGTTGTAGATAACTTGCCATAGCAATATAGCACTATATCATTGTTTTTAATAACTTCACAGTAAAATGGTATAAAAGAATCAAAATTTGTTTAATATATTTTAATTAATGAGCATTTCAGTTCTTTCTGATTTTATTTGGATTATTAGGAGGAAGTTAAAATAAATTACGTTATTGGATTATTTCTTTAACTTGAATACCTGGAAATAGTTTTTCTAGGTCAAAGGTTGTATGCTTTTTAAAAAACTTATTGGTGTTATACCAATTTATCCTCCCAGGGGCAGAGTGTAAGAGCACAAAAAACCCAAACCCAACTGCAAGTATTAGCAGTTTTTTTTAATCTTTGCCAGTATAGTAGGTTAAAAGCAATATCTCTTTGTTTATTCACCCATTCTTCCTAAATTTGTTAAAAATATCTCCATTAGAGCCTCTGTTAAATTTTTATAATGTTTATGTGAATGAAAAATAAAGTGAGACTCTCGGTTGTTGATAAAACTAAATCCTTATTCCAAATTATCAGGGAGAATAATGCCTCATTATCATTTCAAGTAAATAAAGTGGAACCTTAATAACACCTAGATGACATGCACTTAACTTATGAATGTTAAGTCAAGTTCCTACAGGTAATGAAAGTATCCTAAAGAGGACACAACCTGGAGAAAAGGAGAATGGCTCCACCTTCTCACACCACTCGCTTTGCTCAGAACCAACTCTCAGGATCCTGTAGTGGTATGAACCCAGTGCAATTCCACTCACGAACAGAGGGGTGGCACAGCTGTACCACAGCAGCCCCTTATTGCCAACCCTCTGGGTTTCTCCTCTGGCCAGGCCCACCTCTCTTCATGTGGATTGAATCATGATAACAACATCCAAGTACCTTCGTGAAGTTCCAGCGCTGGATGAAGTGACGCGCCACGTCACGAGCTGCCTTCCCGTGGACCGCAGAGGCAATATCATGCCAGGGCATCCGGGGAGTGGAGTACCTATCAATGAAATCTGTCCAGGTGCACCGGGCAAAGATCAGTCACTAAAAATTCAGTGCTGGGGACAGAAGCCCCCGATCCCAACTATGATACATAAAAGGAAATGTGTTAATGTCGACTATGTGTATATTTCTTGACTTGGGTAGAACAACACCTCTCATAGTCAAGGGAAAAATGGATCTCACATTGAGGGACATAGTCTCTGTCATGCACCTCCCCAAATATGTTTCTATTTCACTTAGTATTAGATAACCACTAGAGGCCAAGTTGGTACAGATTATCTAAGGCTTGTATTTGATATTATATTTTTCTTTTTTATTCCGTTGAAATAATGGCAGGCTACATATGCCATGCCATCTCTGTCTCCTCTTAGACATATAAGCACAATGATAATCTGAAAAATATGCTATTCTAATGCTAGAAAATAGAGATGATAAACAGAAAAGACAACAACAAAGGAGGACTACCCCCTTTTGGAGAATTACAGATTATTACCCCAATAATATGCTTATAGGACACTTGGAGAGGTTTCAGACAGGTCAGCTCTATTTCATGTTCTTTTCTTATTGTAGCTATAAGGAAAAGTCCTTAAGTATATAACTAAATCATGTCTCCAAAGTTTTACCAAATTTAAAAAAACAAACAAGAACAACAACAAAAAAAGCAAGACATTGAGATCATGCATAATGCATACTTGTTGAGATGCTCACAAGTAAAATACAAAATATAACCAGCACCCCACTACCATGATACTCACCAGCAAAAGGTTTATCAAGTTGAACCCAATCTTTGAAGACAAAATTGCAGTAGTCCTTTCCATGCCAGAATCTGGTTTCCCCATGAAGCTCTCCCACGCCTGTCTGTAAACTGCGGATTGAGCCGGCATCTGTGAACCAGGAACACCCACTCAGAGACTTTGTCAGGCATGCCCCAGAGAGGGAGGTTCAGCTCTCATCTGTTAAGCACCTAAAAACTTCTACACTTTTCTTCTTAGGGCTATAACTAGTGCATCATCTGTCCATTCGACTAGAGGCTATGGACTGACAAGGTTTTACAACCCTCACAAGTTTATCCTCAGTGGGCAGGTGGGGCTATGCCCAGGTTCATCATTAGACAATGAAATTTAATGTTCTCAGGAGCTGGAGCAGCTTATTCTCACCACCTACTGATCACTAGAGGAACCGATCACAGGACTAGCTGTGAATAAAGAATAAACAGGTGGGACTATGAGAGAGCAGTAATGCCAGGTGAAGGCAGAGAAATCTGAGGCAGTAAAAAGGTCATACCGCTTGTCTTTCCTCAACAACAGAGTACACACCTAACGCATAACTGTCTTTTGCATCTCAAGAAGCAAGAACCTCAGGTTTCCAGACAGCCCATGTTCCAGCCCTGGAATTAACTAGCTTCAACTTTTGGGGTCAGAAATCCCTTATGTGTAAAAGGAAGAATTTGGCCTAGATGACAGCTAAGATCTTTTGGGCTCTAACATTCTGTATTCCTAAAATCACAAAATGGCATCCATAAAAAATACAACAAAGACAGAAGCTTATGATATAGGCACGAAAACTGCAATCTACTGTAGCATTTCACAAAGAGCTTCGCCAAGACCATTTTACTTAAGGGTAGATATTTTGAGTTAAATAGTTTTTAAGTTTAGGGGATGTGTTGACCATAAAGACAATGAAGCAGGAAGACTAGCAGAACTACAAATCACAAATGGAGTGCTTGGTACAAAAGAGACACTTAAATAGACATTGGATGCAAAAACGTTGAATGAATAAATGGTATTGGCTGCTGTAGCCAGTGAGAGGACCGGACTGGTCTCCCCCACCCCACGCTGTCCCAGAACTGTCTTTGTAAAACGCAAAATTGTTGCTTAAAAGCCTCCTAGAATCACCTGCTGCCTACAGGAGGTTCATGTCCTAAGGGCTTGATGTGCACAGGAGGCTTTTCTCAAACTGGCACCAATCTATCTCCCCAGTCCTGGTTTTCCCCACCCGCCCCCAGGCCCCATGCATACTACATCATACCACATGTTTCACTGTATTTGGACAGGCCTGGTCTGCCGCATCTCTGTGCAACTGTCACATCGTTCCTTCTGCCTAGAATGCACTTCTCTCCCTCTCGGCCTGATCTCCTAATCATCCTGCAAGAGCCACATTAGCTGTCACCTGCCCTAGAGAGACCTCCCAGATCCCTGGGAGAGGCAGTCACTGTCACTACCGTTGGGAGCCAAATGCTCACTGGTCCTGTGATAACTGCTCAGAGCCGCATGAGCACTCGTGAGTGGGTCCAGAGGACTTTTGGCATTGGAGATGCTGACCCGAAGGGCTCTCATTAGACTATGTCTGGCTCCCAAATGAGTCACGACTGCACCTGCCTTGTCTTTTGGCACAGGTTTGTCATGCCAATTTTCTGCATCCTCCTCTGTCAGTGGTCCAGCTTCTGCCTGCTCAAGTTTATGATCAGAGTGTCTTCCTGCTCCTTGCCCAGGGTCAGCCTTGCTATGTCCTCCTCCTCCTTTTCTCCTCTCTTGGCTTCCAAGGCTCCATTTCTCTACCATTTCTGCAACCTACTCTTCTTGATCTTCTTTCTTAGCTCCTCCACACTAACAAGGTTTCCCCAAATTTCTTTCATCTTTTTCTATATAATTCCTAAGTGTACACCTCTAGACCTGGCTTCTTTTTGAGGCTCCAGATCTGCAGTCACTTCCAGTGCCTCACTTGACATTGCTTACTTAGTTTTCCCCCCAAAACTTTAAAATCACATCTGAAGCTAAAATCATGAGCATCCCCACAAGGTCAGGTCCTCCCTTCAGATTTCTCCTTTCTGTTCTCAGTGACTCAAGCTCAGCCCCGTGAGTTGCCTTTGACTCTCCTCTTCACTACCTTCTCCAGCCGACTTCCCACCACCACTTCCCAGATCGTACCGAAATACTCCCGATTCCTCCTTTGGAAAAAGTTTCTCCCATGCACTTCATTCTTGGACACACGGGCACAACCCGGTCAGACTCCATGTGTCTCTAGCATCACCTTTGTAAAATCTCACCCTTGAGCCCCACAACTCAGGGGGATTCTTGGACATTTAGTGGATGAGGTTCAATGTCTCAGTTTGACGTTCACGAACCTCGATAAATTGGTACAGATGTACCCCACCAGTCCAATCCACATAAATTAACTAACCCTTAACCACAATTCCAAAACCCCCAAGCCTCTGAAAATCCAAATGTTTTTTCATAGCTCATTTGTTAGCAAAACCTGACCTGAACTGACAAGAGGTTATTTACTATCTTTATTGATCCCACTTGGTGTTGCACAAATACAAATGGTTTGCTTACATTCCAGGTATTCCCTGGACTCTGCTGAGAGTATAACATA